GTTGTCCGTATAACGCTATGTTTTCCGGGGCTCATATGGAAATAGATACGCCCTTATACCATAGGAGCGACGAATTCAGGAGAATGTGATGTATCTTCTATGTCGTGCTAAGGCAAATTGACGTATGAGCCAGTGGTGAGGCGTAAATGATCGATCATCGATACCTCTCCATTTGAAGCTACGGTAAAGAATTGATTATTATGAAGTTCGCTGCAAACACCCTGGCTGTTTTTAAATCCTTTTCTATAGGTTTAGATGGCTGAACAATCGACAAACCGCAAAGCACGTCCCGCCATTAGACCATGATCATCCAAACATTGCCAAATTTCTTTCCATAAACTCTGGATTTTCTTGATAATGTGTTTTTCCTTTAGAAAATTTCATTTCAAAGAAATCAATAAATTCAAAAGTCCTGAAGGATTTCAGGATTTCATTCTAAATTGCCTAAAAATTTCAGAGAAAAATACAGAATTTATTCGTAACTTTTTTCAGAATGACTATTTTGCTGAAGATAATTTGGCGACCTTCGAATGTTTAAACGGCGTTTTGCCATATATCTCGGCAAAATATAGACCTTCGTTGACGGACGAACAGCAACGTTTCCCCAACATTTTGTTCGGACGGACAATGCACTCAACGGGGACATTGTAACTTATACGTTTCACTCTGGTTTCTCCGTCCTTTCGTTTTAATTTCCTGCTGATAATCTGGTCCGTGGAGTGAAATTAATGCATACACAGAGATTTTTTTAAACGCGAAATCACTCGTCATATTTTTTCTTGGTCCATCAGGCACATTTCGCCTGACTCAAAATTTGTCATAAAATTTTACACCCTCTTGCATGACAAATTTCCTGGAAATTTCTAATCATTATCATAAACTCTCGTGACTCCTTAAGTCATCATTTGATGTCACCGTTTGTTCTATCCTTCAACTGAAACGAATTTCATAATTTTTGCGGTTATAGACAGGTGATTGTCCTTTGATGAGCCTGCTTTATTCCTATTTTGGAAATATGACTCAGGTTATTATTATTATTATTTTTTATTGAAAAAAAAAATTGTGATATATTTGTGAATTCTCTCGTGTAAACAAAAACATCGTAATTTTTTGTCACGGTTGGTTCTACAGATCTACTAATATGATTTTCATATTTATTGTGGCTATCGATGTGAGATAGTCCCTGGAGTAGCCCATTTTATGCAGATTTTGAAAATATCACCCAGGTTTTTTATATATGGAGATTGACCGGTGAGCTAAGCAAGGTTAAGGGCAATCAGCAAAATTTGAAAGTTCCGCCTCGCAGGTGAATAATGGCGGGAATTTCAAATCTGGCAGAAAATCGAACTGAACAAGATATAACGATCTTGGATTATTTCTACATTCTCTCTTATATTTCGATTTTAGACGGACAACCAGGAAAGACAGTAGAGCAAGGTAAAGTGAAACGAAGGCGTGCTCCTTCGCTAAAGACTATTCAAAACACTCCGCTCCATTCGTTTTTTTCAGCCTTGGCGAGAAGTTTTAAAAATAATGCGAATGTTCATATTTGATGCTCATTGGTCTAATCGCTCCAAGCCAGAGGGATTTTCATTATTTCTGTGGCCACTCTCCGAGGGTCGGGCCGCGTAGCGGCCAAGCGGTGTATCTCCCGTATGCTTCCTCTCTTTCATAGCCTTCATACTGCGAGTAGAGTTTCCACCTTGAGGTGGGCATCCCGTTTCGGTAAGACGAGGCCGTTGAGACTCGGCAGGTACCACTCGGGCGAAATTTAATAAGTGGGCCCGACGCGGCGGTTGCCACACGCGACGCGCGGCCCCGGCGCCGCGACGCTGGCGACGCTCGGCGTGGATGTGGCGGCGGGGCTCTCGGGTTTAATGAGCCCCGATAAGTGGCCGTATTTCATTCCGCCGAGCGTGTGTTTACGCCTATTACGCCTCCCGCCGACAGCACCCGAATCGCACGCCGCAGCGTCCCACCTGAATCGCCGGAATTTCACCTGGAAATGTCACCGTCCACCGCGAGGGCCGCTTCTATTCAGGGAGCAGTAACGACCAATTTTTTTCAAATCAAATGGACCACTAGATAAGGTACGGATTTCAGCATTCTGATACATGTTTCTCAATTGAAATTTCACGTAAAACACGATACACACAACAAAAATTACCGAAATCAACCCCTTGCGAGGATATTTAATGATTCTTGATACGTGAATTCAAACCACCCGCTCATGAAAACTCAATGATCTACGTGATTCACATCGCGCTAAACGTTACCTATCATGGCAGTTTCTAGGCACGCCATATTAATCTGGCAACCTCAACTTGACGCTTTGACTCAGTTATAGCAAATTGCTTATTAGTTTGAACAACACATGGTGGGACATGAACATTGCTCGACTGAGTTTCTTGTGAGCGGGCAGTTCCAATTCCTCGTAACCAATGTGAAATAAAAACGTTAATATCTTCGTTAGGAGTTGGTTTCAGTAATTTTTGTTGCGTGAATCGTGTTTTACGTGAAATTCTGGTTAAGAAACATGTATCAGATTGCTTGAATTCGTACCTTGTCTAGTGGTCCATTCTCTTGAAAATTTCACTAATCAAATTTAATGCGAGGGTCAGTGGCGTGGCGTGCTTTACGTCGATTTACCTGCCATTTGAAGCTAATGGAAAAGGATCGATAGATAAGGTGTTCAGGACGAAAACCTTTATAATCGATTCCTCACCACGGTTTCTAATGGGAAAATTTCGACAAACGATCATTCACGCCTCGCCACTGAAGCGGATACTCAAATCTGCAATTGAAAATTGTCTCTCCGTAAAATTAATGGTGAGGACTTAAAGATACAACTATTTCAACTCCCTTGTGCTTTATATGGTATCGTCCCGAAGAGAAAGGCAGTATGATGCCATTCAACTAAAGGAAGAAAGAACCGACCCTGTTACCTGATTTGATTTTTTCCATTCGTAAATACGTGGGTCTCAAATTATGACTTGAGAATTGAATCAGTGAGAACGAAAACACACCAACTCGAGAAAATGACACTAATCAAGACGCACACAAAATTGCATAGTAGGTGAAGAAGTTAGACTAGAGAAGAAATTTTTGGTGACAAAAGACAAGTAGTTAAGGACACTTTAAAGGTCAGAGTTGGAACAGATGCGTTAACTTCAAAGACCTTTAGGAAAATTGACTGTTCTGAATGAAAATTGAGCATTTTTGAGTTACCGAGTCGGTGTGTTTTCGTTCTCACTGATTCAGTTGTCTTTCAGTTCTTGAGAGTTTGAGAAAATAACTAAATCACTACGAACAACCGAAAATATGCAATTACGTCCTGGGTCCCGACTTTTTGCGGTATGAAAAGTTTGAGCTTTTACGGTCGCCTTAATTTCCCTCTTTTTTACTCTATCCTATATCGACGGTGAAACTCCAAAACGACGTATCTCGGTTGGTGACGTTGCAGACTTCCCGTCTTCCCGTCACACTTCAATACTTAAATGAAGAACCTCTTGACGTCAATTCTTCAAAACTTCCGTGATTTTCCTTCTCTGTGCGAAGCAAATTCTAAAGAAACTTGAGATGAAGACATTTCAAGATGTCGATTTGTCCTCATTTAAAAAAGTAAAATTGGAGCGGAGATTTTGAAACATTGCAAACCAGATACGCGGTTCGGGAGTTTCATCGACGGAATCTAATGTACTGACTTAAAATCAGGAGCGCAATAATCCCCCTTCGCGGTGTGAGCGCGAAATGAATTTAGAGAGAGGTTAGAATCAAAATGCATGAACGCATTGGATTCAAAATTCATGGAAGCAGGAGTGTCAATTCCCGGAGCTAACTACTCCTATGAGAGACTTAGAAGGCGAGACGGTTAACGCGCGCACGTATCGCCTTCAATTTTGAATGATACCGCAGAATACACAGGAGTTAAAATAATGGTATCGTCTAGCGTTAAGCTAATCATCGTGCGGTAGTCATGTCAACCAGAATCAACCTAACTTCAATGAGCGTTGCATAATCTCCTCTCGTGTTAAGTTTCTTACTCACACAATTACATGGCATTGCTTTTTGCTTACAATTAGTTATACATAGAATAATTAAACCTAAGAGGAAATTGGACAACAAAGAAATTGGCTAGCTCCTAATGTCATTGGACTGATTCTTGTCAGCCGTTCTGTTTACGTTGTCCGAAAATATCGATGGATAAACTGCGACACCACGAATCTCCTCGTGGAATCTCAAAATTTCCACTCTTATTTGATTTTTCGGAGAAAAATAAGTCAACTATGTAGCTTGAAATTTCTACGGAATATTCTACTAACAGAAAAGAAAAATTAGGGAACTTTTCGGAAAATTATGTTGACTAGTTCTCCCATGCAAAAATGAAATATGACAGGAAGCCTGCAACGTCGCAAACGGAGATAAGTGGTATTTGGTTAAGCCCTTTCGCCATCAAACACGTTTAACTTGGGATGTTTGATATCTGCTGGTTTTTCTATGTAGTCGTCGCTAAGTCCCTGCAGAGATCTAGTAACCTTGATGCTTAACATACACATTTTTGTCTCTATCATTTTAACTAAAAACAATGAGTATCAATTGATTACATGCACAAAGCGCTTTTAATATAAGTGTGATGAAAATGAATTTGTGGAGGCGTCTAATTCTCCTTTGCAAATTTTTGAAATGTAAGACTAAATACTTGGTAATTTCAAAATTATCACAGCTCAGCACACGCATTGCCCATTACGGTAGGTTCAACTGCTGACAGCCTTGTAACTCACCCAAATTTGGACACCTCACGTTTTTACAGGCCTGATTTTCTGCAGTGAAAATCCTAAATAAAATGTAAACATTTTTAAGACAATAAATATTTACATCGTCATTTGCCTTCAGCGGCCGAATTGAATCTAAAAATTGATCTAATCAGTCCAATTGGAACTGATACACTATGAAAATGTGTGTAGTTAGATTTCGTTTTCGAAATATTCGAAAGCTAATACCTGACGGTTGTTAGAGACGAGCCAAAATCTGTCATGAGTATACAAACGCCTAGTTTTCTACCGGAGGGTAGACTTTCAAAATGATGTTATTGCTTTCGTTTCAGGTCTATCTTCACATATATCGATTTTTCTGGAAAAAGAAATAAAAAGAATGGAGTTAATAATTGAGGAAAGTAGAATGGAATAAGTAGAAATATCCATCAAATAATGCGACGAAATATTAAACAAGCGGGAAAGCTCTAATACGTTCGTATTAGAGAAGCGCTCAGCTTGTTTCTATGTTGGCGCATTTTCAAGTTCCCCGAAGAAGATGAGCGACGTTGAGTGGAAGAACTCACCTTACAAAAGTTTCAACCATCAATTTTGAGAAAAGTACACTACTGTTAAAAAAAAAAAAAATTATGAAAAACAATTACCTCCCTATCGGCTGAGCGCTTAAAAATAATTTATTTACGTATCAAAGATTCCTGAAGAGCGTGATTTTGTGACGCTGAATGTCTTAAAATATAGTTAGTTAGTTAGTTATTATAATTTAGAGACATTCAGCGACTCAGGCTATTAACGTCTTTACAGGTAATTTTGAAAATATATAGGAGTATAAACGAAAATTTAGATTTTTAAATTAAGAGAGGTGAAGAGTTTCAGAATTTTGGTGGCAATATTAGGTTCATCGCATGTAAGAGGGTTTGTATTTCTGTTGATTGTAGGGGAGTAGATCTGTGATTGGAGATGTCGGAGGGAAGAGCAGTCCATAAGTATGTGTTTGATGGTTAGAGGTGATGAATTGCAGAAGTGGCAGATGGGTTGGTTTTCTTTAGATATGATATGGTTGTGAGTGAAAAAAGTGTGACCTATCCTGAGACGCGTAATTTGGACTTCACATGATCTTGATTTGTGGTTAGATGTTCTCGGATATGGCATGGCGGCTCTACGGAGACGATTCTGTTCACTTGTGCTCCATTCTTGTTCCCACGATTTTGTGATAAGTTCGCACATAGCTTTTTTAGCATCTTGCTGAGTGAATGGATGGTGATTGATGTTCTGCATAGAGCATGCTTCAGTGGCTGCTCTGTCCGCTGTTTCGTTTCCCAGAATTCCTATATGAGCCGGTACCCAGATAAAAGAGATGGAGTGGCCATTGGCCAATAAGGAATGAACAGTATCATGGATTAACATTGAAAAGGGATGATTAGTAGGGTTGTATTTCAAGGTGCGGAGTGAGGAAAGAGAGTCAGAGCATATGACGTAATTGATGGTATCATTGTTACAGGAACTAAGTTCTTGTACATATCTAATTGCTTCGAGAATAGCCAGCATCTCAGCTGTGAAAATAGAATTTAACGGAGATAATTTTTGTTTCAGGATAAAATTATTTGATGTATCTACGAATGCTAATCCTACTGATGTTTCTTGTTTAGAACCATCTGTGAAAATTTGTTTGTAATCAAGGAAGTTTTGACATAAAAGTTGGTTTAGTCGTTCCTTGTAAAATGTACTTGATGTGTTTCCTTTCTGATAGGCAGCTAGGTCCAAATTGACAGTATCGATATTGTACATCCACGGGGGGCAGGAAAGGGTTTCATTTGGAAAAAGTTGTAGTTGATCGAGGCTGTATTTTGTTTTCAATTTATCAATCAGCTGCTTAGTGACATAAGAAATAGGTTTAACAGTGTCTGTCACTTCAATAGCATCACATATCATATGTGGATAGGTAGGATGATTTGAAGATGTCATGACTTTAGTGAGATAGCCACTAAGTAGGATCTGCCTTCTCCATTGAAGGGGTGGTTCCCCTGCTTCGGCACACAAACAAATAGAAGGACTAGTTCGGAAAGCACCAAGTACAATACGTAAAGATGATGAGTGAATGACATCTAATGCCCGTAGATAAGTTTTTTTACTAACTAACTAACTTTCACTATTATTAATATATAAACATATATATTGATAAACAATGATGTATATGTAAAATTGAATATATAATTTAGATATAAATATTTACTATTGTTAGTAAACGCCACGCCGTAAAGCGTCTTCAATTCTTAGAATAATTCACGCACATCCATGAAGTTAAAATAGTTGTATGCTTCATTTTGACCAGTGCGACGAAAAAGTAAACTTTGGAGTGACTCGTTTTTTTACCGTTTTTAAAAAAAGAATCAGTCAGCAAGGACTTATGGTTGGACATTTTAGACTGGACATTTTACTGATCATACCTCAAAATCATGAGTTGAAAAACGGTGACTCCGCGAGTTTAAGTATTAGAGCCTACCACAGAGCAGAACGGCCAGCGGCGTGCTGCAAGCGCAGTACGCGCGCTGGCGCCTTCAAACCTAACTGGGATACTTCACGCATTGCGCAATGCGTGAAGTATCCCAGTTAGGTTTGTAGGCGCCAGTGCGCGTATTGCGCTAGCAGCACGTTGCGCCATGCCACGGCGCCTCAAGTAACTATTTTACAACAGAGGTGCTGCACAGTATCATACAAATTGTAGTCGCTCCAACATATTAAGAATGACAGGCAACCTTCAAAAGTGCAGAGGTTTCCTCACAAAATGAATCAAGATAATACGGCACAAAAAGAGAGCGGAAGTCCAAAATCTCACCAAGTCCTAGCATCTGTATTTAGTTACGTTTAGCATAATTTTTGGATTTTATCAGGGAAAGAAGTGACTCGATTTACGCAGAAACTTTCTTGAGTATGCCGTCAAGAAGATTTTATTTTGACTCAAGAATGAAGTCGCTGAATGAAAGCGGGTTTCTGCTGGATGTAAGTGACTTTTCTTTTTATGTAAGCATCTTTTTTCTTTAAACAAGCATTATTTTCTTTATTGAATTTTTATTTAGAATTTCTTAAATTAATTTTTAATCTAATTTTCCTGGTTTTTTTTTTTAAATTTTTATTTTTGCGATTCATTTTGGCGCTTAAGTTTTTTCGAGAATGACCCATTCCAGTGTAGACGCGTTCCTTACTGCAGACGTGTATTTACTGTTTCCGGCTTCGTTTAAAAAAAAAATGTGTCAATATTCCCCCTATGCAAGTAGGTGCTTTCTTGGTGGATCCAGCAAATCGGCAACATTTTCTTTTCTCCATTTATACCTATGGCAATGTATCGATTCTTGGGGGGGGGGGGGGGGCAGGTCCTCCGAAAAGAATCGATAATTTAGCATAGGTTTAAATGGAGGAAATCCGGTGTTGCTAAATGGACCTCTGGACAAGGTACGAATTTAAGCATTCTGATACATTTCTTAACCAGAATTTTACACAAAACACGATTCGCCCAACGAAAATTACTGAAACCAACTCCTAACGAAGATATTAACTTTTTATTTCACATTGGTTACGGGAAATTTGAATTGCCCACTTACAAGAAACTCAAAGCTCTACGTGAGTCAAATCGCACACCACGACGGTTTCACTAAGCTTCTCAATCGAGCAATGTTCATTTCCCATCATGTGTTGCTCAAACTAAAAGCAATTTGCTATAGCTGAGCTAAAGCGTCAAGATTGAGTTTGCCAGATTTTTATACCGCAGAAACTGTCATGACAACGTTTAGCGCGCGATATGTGAATCGCGTAGAGCATTGAGTTTTCATGAGCGGGAGGTTTGAATTCACGCATCAAGAAACATTGAATATCTCCGCAACGAGTTGATTTCGGTAATTTTCGTTGTGCGAATCGTATTCTACGTGAAATTTTGATTGAGAGTCCCGTATCAGAATGCTGAAATTCGTACCTTGTCTAGTGGTCCATTCGTCCATTGCTGGATCCGCCTCTGGGTCTGGTAAAATTAGTGTTTCCTAATCTTGAGATGAAGTTCATATGGTGCTCGAAATAGAGTCTCTTCATTTTTGTTTACAGTTCGCTCCAAGCGCACGAACATGGAAATTGCATCCTGCTGTCATGTCGGGGCCGTAATCAGCGTTTGCATCCAAGACGCTGCCGCAGCGGAGGGCTCATTTTTCTAAGGACCCAGCGCGGCGGACACTTAACTTTGTTTCCTCGGACCCTCGACTTACGATACACTAATTGTTTGTGATGTCGTCGGGCGATAAACGCGGGAACGACCAATAAACTCGTCGAATGGGTCGACCCCGGAATTAACGGCCCTTTTTACGAGTGTATTACCCGCGCCGCGCCCCGGCCCCGAGAGGGGGTGTTTGAAGTGTGGCTTAATTAAAAATTTGTTGCCGGCGCGGGAAAGTCTTAAGATCCCTATCTCGATTGAGTCGTCTTCGTCGCCGCTACGATTTGAATGCCGATGGGGGTACGTGAACCGTCTGATTTTTCGCCTCTCGTCGGGTTGCACGACGTTATTTTCTGTGGAAAAAACCGAGGGTGTATGGATTACGTTTTGCAAAAAGGAACCACTATTTCTGGTCCATTTTAGAAACAACAAACATGCCATTGGTTTCCCTATGCAGATATGTGCTTTTATGGGAGAGCCAGAGATAGAGGTTCCTTATTGCAAAATGTAATCCATAAGTTCTGAGGGTGGAAAATAACTGGTAGAAGAGATGCAAAAAACCTAACGAATGATCAGCGTAACTTAAAATTGGACCACATTTTGCAATAAGGAACCACTATTTCTGGCTCATTCTAGAAACAGCGCGTGTGCCATTGGTTTCCGTACGCAGAAAGATGATTTTATGGAAGAGCCAGAGCTATTAGTTCTTTATTGAAAAGTGTAATCCAATTCATTACGGTAAAAATGGATTGCTGATTTAACAACTAAATCGTTAAAAATTATGTCAGACATGTTTCAACTGTACATTTTATACAATAGTGGAAAGCTAATTGGACGTATTTCTATCAAACGGAACTAAGCGCCATCGGGTGAGGAAGGAAGAGAGGGGCTTGGATTGGCGGGTGTTGCGGAATGCGATGCTCGTTCCGCTCTATACTTGCAATGCTTTTCCATGGCGCTCAGTTCCGTTTGACAGGACGCACTATCCGGGATTCTCAAATCCTCGAAAAGGCACTCAAATTGGCGCTTAGTTCCGTTTGACAGAAATACGTCCAATTTCACCACGGTGCTGATTAAATCAGCATATTTTAATTGTAAAATCTACATTGAAACAAGTCGGACTCTTTTTTTAAGTACAAAATTGTTAAGCAATTTTTACTTT